AAAATCATTATTTTCCCCAACCAAGCTCTCCCCCGAAACATAACAAGGAGACGAGACCACCGTAGAGAAAAACACCGAAGACGAGCATGTGCGCGTCACACAGTCAAGTTAGAGGTGGTGCGACACTGAATGTTCGATGGACACGTGGAAACGGCCGGTGTATTGCAACACCATTGCGTGTGGACGGGCTAGCAAGAGCTGGAGCGCCGTCGTAAAATGATTTTCATCTGTTCCACGATAGACCCAACACGAGCAGGAATACCCTGTGGCCCTGTTGTGGGTTCGTGCTGTTGTTGGATACATGTTGTTGGGTCCAAGTACCTTCCTCTTGGTGCCACGTCAAAAGACACATAAGCATACACACCGTGGCTATTGCTGCCGCGTGTGTGGTGGGCGGGTGGTGATCTCTCCAGCTACAACGTGAAACTAGAGAGGAGCCGTTGCTTCTTGAATATGCGTTCACATGGTTTCAAAAGCGGTTCATGTCAGTCAGCCAACAAAATGGTTTGTTGGGAAGTCCGTTGAAGTACGAGGAGCCATACAACAAAAAGGAGTTTTCCCCACACCATAAAGGTAGAGTCCGCAAAGCACGCCCGACGCTCTGTGCGATGCATATGCTGGGATGACTGGTGTATTGAAATATTATTGCTTGTGGACGGCTGGCGAGGTCCAACGTGCATGCCCGCTTTCCGGCAGCAACAAGGAAGAAGAAGCCCTCTCGCAAGGCTATCTTAATGCTGGTGACAGCCGAATGCCGACACATACGTGGCTAGCCCTATCCATCCTCGTTTTCAGAAGCTGCTTACTTTGCCACCCGTCCAGGAAATGAGGTTGAAAGGGGGAGTAGAGGGATCTGGCTGAGCAGCTAGCACTGGCTAAGCAGCCAGCGTTATGCAACAAAGCGGCAGCTAGCTAGGGCGTGTACCTGAGAGAAAAATGGCGGGCCACGCGTTGCAGTCTGCGTTTCCTCCTAGGACGGAGCTTGCTTGTACATCATGATCCGATCTGCGGGATGCACCACAGACGTGGCGCATGGAGCACACAGCGTAGTGCCAGCTCCACAACGATCTGAGGTGTGACTTATCTGGCAGGCAAGCTGTTGCACGAGGCAAGACAGCGGTAGGTGGCATGACGGCTGGATCGATTCGAAAGTTGGTACACCGTTGTGTCGACATGTTCATCGTTGGCTCTCGCAATTGGTGGATGTAGCTGAGCAGGTTGGGGAGTTCGACGCGCCAAAAATATGGTTGTAGTCGGCTGGGTGACGGAACCGCTGTTCATGGCTTTTGTTTGCTTCCCTGGCCACCAGCCTCCCCGAGATTTGCGGGGCACGCCATGTGCGTCGTACAGTCTTCCGCCTACCTTTCGTTGGACGTAAAGTATGCAGTATAAAAGTCTTCCAACACCGGCAGGGCTTGGAGGATGAAGTCGAAACCGGATGATGAGATAAACACGTACCGGAGGAGTGCAAGGACAGCACTCCCTCGTTTAGCGTTTTCCAGGGTGCTGTGCACATGTACTAACTTACCTACCGAGTGGGCTATGGTGCTCCTTCGGTTTCGTTTGGGGAGATGTTCTTCGCCCTATGATGCTCCTATTGTTCTGAACTTGGTTTTCAGGGATTTGTTCTCTTCACCGTAACTGTAGCATTTGATGGTAGCAGTACTTGCTCTGGGTCCTATGATTTGATTTTGTTTCTGTAAGCTGATTCCGGTCAGCTCGTGACCCCCTTGAACTCATTTGCTTGCCTCTGAGGTGTTGCCAAGAGGTGGTACTGGATGAATGTCACACGCTTTTTTTGTGTGGCAACAACAAAGTACGAGACGGCAATTTCCTCGCTTCAGGACGATTTATGGAGCGGCGGGGAGCACATGGCTCTAGCTTCCGCCGTAGTCAAGAACGCCGTGGGAAAAAATGAGTGCATTGGACATCCAACCGCCCAGCGGGTGTGAGGGCGCGATTTGTATTGTTCGGTGCTGCCGCCTGTCATTTGAGGTGAACCGCTCTGTGCGTTGGCGAGGACCGGTGTGTGAGCACGGCCGAAGTACGGGGGCGAGGGGCGAAGTACGGCGAAAGCCCAGTTGAGCCAAACGTTGTTCCGTTCGACGCGACACATACACACCCGTCTCCCACGGCGAACTACTCAGCTTGTCCTCAGCAAATCACACATAGATACGGGCATTGTTTGTTCGTAAAATAACCGATCGGAAATGGATGCAGTTTCTTTAGTATGGAAGGCCAAAGCAGTGGAAACAAAATGACGAACGAATTCATGACCGGCGGGTGAAGAACTCTGCTTACAGAGTTCCGAAACACATACAGGTGTTGTATGCTTTGTTGCAGTTGACGTGAAGGTCGTCGTGGGTGGCATGTATGGCCTTGAAACTGGACATTTGAAGGGTAACAGTTGTATGGACTTCTGTTGTTTGGTTGGCTGCCGCAGTTTCTTTCGTGTGGCCGCAGCATACAGCAGTGGCCAGATAAAATGACCACTTTCATCAATAACTACAAGGCGTCCGGGAATTTGGTGACTTGCCTCTTGCGGGCGACGCAGCAGGACGTAGACAATGCCATCACGACTGTATCGTTACATCTCAATGTTGCAGTGCCCGTTTCCGTACAACAAACCGCAGAATATATCTCTCATAACGTCACACACGGGGATGTTTCATTCTCACTGACTCTTCGCGTGAGTGTGAGAGTGTGCTTTGTAGGCTATTCGACTCACCGTGTCTGCGGTAGATTCTACGGTTGTCATCCGCTACTTTGATCGCTCTCTCGCTTATGCAAACATTCGTGAGTGTACCGTGTTGCCCATTGGGGTGTGGGAACAAGTGTGTCTTGCTGGCGCGTTAATTTCGTGTCTGTTCCGGAGTGTCCCAGACGATCAAGGGGTAGTTCTTCGATAGCGAAGTCAAGTATATTTCGAAAATATGATTGAAGTAGCATACTTTTTAGACACATGCAAACCGAAAGGGTGCATATAGGCACGAGTCACAGCTCCCAGGAGCCACAAGAGGAAATAACAATCGATCTCGACTCGGGTCGGTGCGTGATTCCGGCAGAGTGGGTCCTTGGTGTGAAAGTTGTACAACACAGGTACGACACATACACACAAGGATATGAAACAACTCGCAGACAAGGGAAAAACGTCAAAAAATGAAGATTGAAAAATGGGACAAAACGTGCATCCGAGTTCGAACCCTGAACGTCACACGAGAATTTTGGGAGGGAGGATTATGCACCATACCATGCTTTCTGTAAGAGTTAAAAAGAAACCATCCGTGCCTCGCGAACCAGAGACCCGAGCGCGAGAGTCATGGAAGACGTGATGATGAGAAGCCGGAGATTTAGCAATATCGGCATTGGATGTAAGATGGAGCACGCTAGCCCCACTTTGATGTTTGAACAGGCTCCAGCAGCACCTGTTGGTCATATTGCTTTTGTGGTACTTCGCACGGAATACAAAATGCAACAGTCTGCGCGTGGTATATCTGCCGGCGTTTGTTGCAAAAAATAGCCGTTGACTTTCTGGCGCTGTATTTGAGTACAGCGGTCGAAAGGTGCTCTTGAATAGGTCGACTATTGCTGCTGCAAAACAGATTGGCAGTTCTGCGAACAACAGTTTTCAAAGCAACCGATGTTATGCTCCAAACCATGAAGTGTTACCTTTTTCACATAAACTGTACCAGCTCTACTTAAGCGGATTCGTCGATGTTCCTCGTGTCTCCCACGTCCTAGCACATGCGGTAAGCAACGCGTGGCCGCCACATACCATGTGTGTGGCGATTAATGTCATCAAATAGCGCCGAACCCATCACCCGCCACCGCAGCTACACGAAGTACTAATAGCAACGTTCTCCAAACGCGTCACGATCCCTCGCCAAAAAACTTGTTTTTTACCCTGCTCTGGTTCCTTCCAAAACGATTCCTGCGCAAAACTCTGCTGGTTTCAGTATCTTGCATTATCCCACATGTTCAGCGAAAGATAAATACATACGGCCGGGCATGGCCACGGGCGGAAAGAACCTGAATTGCCACCCAAATTTGCATTTCACCGATCTGTTGCATTCCGTGACACCCCAAACTCCAAGTGTTCCCAGTCGAAAACTACATTTGTGTACGTACCTTCATGGGTTCAAGCCTTGCGTAGGGCGCGTGTCCTTTAGCCAGCTCGAGTGCTGTGATGCCGACGCTCCAAATATCCGCCTTCTGGTTGTACCCATCGACCTGCGAAGTCAGGTGCCTTCTAGTTGCAAATGTCAAGACAAAAGGGCAGTACTGGTGTAGATGAAAGTAGCAAACGCCAACCCTCCGCGCAATTTTTTGTCCCCATCTTTCTTCGTGACCATGTGGGAAGCAAGAACAAATAACGGGCGTTCCAACTATGCTCTCCCTAGCCATGGTAACCCTAAACAACAAAGCTAATACGCACCTGTTCCATGACCTCCGGGGCCATCCAGCATGGTGTCCCTACGAAGGTTTTAGCGACGTTTCGGCGGGCGCCGTAACCAACAAGCCATCCGGCAACCCCGAAATCGGCTAGCTTCACTCTCCCGTCCTCTCCCAGAAGGATGTTACCAGCCTTGATGTCTCGATGGATCTATATGCCATAGAAGAAATGCCACATTTGCTGACCAAGTGAAGCTCGCGCACAGTGCAGATATTTTGGACAAATCGAGGTAACAAACCCGCCAGGTTGCCTTGCGGCAACTCCAGAAGAAAACACAAGAAAACGCCGTACGAGTGCCAAACATCGCCAACTACCATTCGAAAAAAATCCGGGCCAAATTTGTTTCGCCACGAGAGTACTCGTCAACAAATATCCCGGAGTGGGGTCCATGAGAGCTTTTGTTTGCATTCAACCTCTGTATAGGGATGCAGTGCTCCATGGATGTGCAAAGACACAATAACGACACTCGTAGGCAACGCACCAACCAGTTTGCGGCATCCCCGATGACGCGAGGATAAAAATTCAGGAGACACAACAGCAACGTATCCAACAACAACTGACGAGCAAAGCTCATACCCAGCCGAAACAACGAACGCCACTCTGCCCCATTAAAGCAGCCGACCTTGTTACCTGTCCCTGGTCGTGAAAGTACTTGAGTCCCTGCAGCGTTTGCTTCAAGACATATGCGATGCACTCCTCCTTCATGCCGTCTCCCTTCCCCTAGGTCATGACGTCATCAGAGGAAAATAGAACGTCAAAAGAGGTACCTCTCGAAGGCGAGTTTCGCAGCGTTATGCTCGGAACATCTCAGACGCAACGGTGACGGACTTGGGTATCTGTGATAAGCGAGTTTCGGTTGATGTCTCACAATGTGTGCATGCTCATCAGCAAGTTTTCACTCGGGACTTTGGGGCAGGACCCTGAATCTCTGCACGCGCGTGTCCTGTTGGTCAATACCTAACGCTGTTAAAATCGAGAGTTCCGTCTTTTCGGATGGGGGACGCGATTTAAAGGCAACAGAACAACGCATGTTGAGCTTCAGGATCCAACTTGTGTGCTCTGATGTATGCATCGAATAAGTTCCTCCAATACATATATTGGTGTGAATATGTACCACAAACGATGTTTTCGGGCGTTGCGCTGACTCAACTAATCTGTGAAATCGAGACCAGAAGTTTGCAAACACTTGCCTTGCGGCACTTGGCACCGAAAGAATAATCAACATAGCGTTTCGAGCACACGGAATCCGTCGCTCAGGTGGTCAAGTTTGACCCCGGGCGAGGCTTGTCTTCCGTAGCATTCGAACCCCGTAAGACGCTTGGTAAGACTTGTTGAACACTTTCGCGTGAAAATAACGGTATTTACGACAAAAGGGTTCTCTAGGGTGGCCCCGCATTCGACACGGGGGAAGCGTCGTCTACGATAGGATCCACAAGACTGCACCCCAAGGTCATTGACATCGTCATCCTCAGAAAATCCATTCGAACGTGTTAAGGGCGCGCTGGAGTTCGCACATCTCTTCAAAATCCAGGAAATGCCTGCATGTCTTAGTTTTCCATAGTCTACCCAAGTACAAAACTCTCATCGCAAACCAAATGTCCGCTGACCCCCCCTCGTGTACAATGTTAGTGAGTCTGAGATTGTAGCCCTTGTGATACATTGAAGATTAGCGGTGCGCGATTTCCAAACGATCCTTCCATTATCGAGATCAGTGAGCTACAAGCAGGATTTTGAAGCTGCGGTGCGGCCCGATTTGGAAACGCTCCAAGCACCTATTACCATTGGCTAAACCTACATATGCATGACCTCAGGCATTCAAATCGACGGTGGCGACAAGTAGGATATGTGCGGGAAGAGTTGCGCTGAAGTTCGCCCTACTCACACAGGGGCTGATTCGCGGCCACTATGTGTTTGAAGCTTTTCAAAATCGGACCGCAAGCAGCTTCAAATCCTACTTGTAGCTCACTGAACTCGACGACAAAAAGATAGTTTGGAAAATTTCGGACCGGTAATCTGTAATGTATCACAAGGGCTACAATTTCAGGTACTAACAATGTACCCGAGGGGGGTCAACGGACGTTAATTTGCGATGGTAGTTTCGTACTTGGGTTAGGCTTTGGAAGATTATGATATATATATATATATATATAGGCGTTTCCTGGGTTTTCGGAGGACATCTGCGAACTCCCGTGCGCCCTAAATTTTATGCGCAATACGAAGACCTAACTTATGGCAAGTGATGCTCTGGTACCCTGTTCCATATTGATGCTTCGAAACTTTACTGACGACCACCCCAAGATCCACTCTCAATCACGTAGACGGCACCCCCCAGTGTTCAGCACTCTTGATCTGTCAAGGATTGAAGCGAATTTCGCACAGCAGCTTACACGCTGGATCTGCAAATTTTACCGGGTAGATCGACACGCTCAGGTCGGCGACGACAGGGCACAGAAGTGTCAACCCGTCAAACTGGTACCATGTCATCAACCATCGTTCCAAGCACAATATTGAAGTCTATACAGGTGGCGTTGCGAGGGGTGATTGCTCGGGACTCCGAAACGTATAAGCGTCTAACCTGCTATCCTTCCACACGTAATCCTCTCCCGATATCCATACGATTTCATTTTGAACGTAGCTTCAGTGGCTTCTGGGCCTTCACCATGATCTAGGTCGTGCTGAAATCAAAACATCGGATCATCTCGGCAACAACCTCTCCAATTCTGCTCCTTCTTTCATGTGAAGGTCAAAGGATTTTCGTTTCTGTCGCAGACGTCTACCGGGCACATTTCTCTGCTGTCGAACATTCGTGACAGACTGTCGAACGGGCACTCCAGGATGCGCACACAATGAACGCAACGGTAATCTTGCGAAATTAAGAAGGATGAGACCCGTTCCGTCTCAAACCCTTCACTCGACAATCGCATGTAAGATCTAGTGTGTCGTGAGCGAATTGTGGACAAGATATAAAAGAAGCGGGGGAGGTCCGCAAGTGCACTCTCAACCAACCGCTCTCCATTTATAGGTACCACACCTTCCGGGGAATCGACCTGCCAACCTGACCGGACCAATATGCATATGAAGGAGATGGACAAGCAAGTTGCTGGTAATCATAGCGAGAACACAATGAACCCCGCACGTTTACGGTGCCACTGTCAGAGCGGGAACGGTGTTTCGTCGTGGACGGGGTAGGTGTTCAAGCATTACGCAACTCAATTATCCTCAAAATCTGTATTGCCTCCCGGCTCCTCATTGCTCTTTACCTCCTTTTTAGCGACGTTCATCACGTGCAAGCACGATCCTTTGCTCATGAACTCCATTACCAGCCACAGCTCATTTTCATGCACGAACGATGCGTAGCAGCTCAGCACATTCGGGTGGTCGCACATACGCATCACCGCCACCTGCCGCACAAACAACGAAAAATAGGACCATGATGTGTTCAAGGAGATGACTTGTTGTGCCTACATCCATTCCTTGTACGGCAAACAAAGGTGTGCGTAGATGACACTGCTATCCTCCATGCCTCCGCCTACATGTTGGGAGCAGGCTTGCCATCCCGTATGCATGAGTGCACGCCCGGCCAAAACAAAACATCACATGCAAGCGAAGTCGTTGCTCCACACCATGGTGTGATAATCTGATCGTTTCGATGAGTCAATTCGTGGAAAATACGCGCATCATGGGCGCTACGAGCGTTTCGAGACCCAGACTGAAACAGGAGCTTCGCACAAGCAGGTTATTGCGTGCAATGAGTCATTACGTTTAGATCTCCCGCCCATAACACGAAACGCCCGCGCAAATCCCACAGGACACTAGATAAGTTAACGTCAAATCTGTGCATCATCACGGCGGAACCAAGGGTGCTAAACCAGGGCGCGCATTGCCAGATTTCACGATCAGCAGCCCGTGGCTTTTGGTTGGCGACTTCGCATACATGGCAACACTTCCTTCGGCTGCCATTCCCTGCATCGAGGATCACTTCCTTCGGTTGTTTTGTGAACAGCTGTTGCGAATCGTATGCGAAACTGGGCGTCTCTACGTAGCTGGACTGTCCGTTCGGCTCAAGTCCGATGTATTGGACACCGACCTTTGAGCATAATCTCAATCTTCTAGATACTGCCCTGCAACCAAAATCAGAGAAGCCCAAGGGGTTCATGAATTCGAAACGATCATTACGTTTTTCGCTCCATGCAAACGTACACAATTGGCAGATCGTGCTTTGCGGAGGACCTGTACCAGCAGTGATGCCACACCTAAGATTCTGCTCCGAAGGTGAAAATACAGTACCGGCTACCACAATGTAAGAGAATCAATACAAGAGCACGTACGGATATGACAGAATAATACGAGAGAAAAATTGGCATATTCCGGAGCTACTATCATATTCTCTTAAATCGAGCCCTGAAAACATGGATTCACACAAAAACTGAAAAATGCGGCGGCATGCCCAACGTCTCCTACCCTCTTCGTCCAGCCAAGATCGCTTGGGTTAGCAAGCACGGGTTGAGAGAAGCAAAGGACACGTGTACGAGAGAACTTTTTCTGTGATGAGCACGCAAAAGTGCTGAATGTTCATCGGTAAACATCAATAGGGTAGGAGGAATCGCGACAGGCAGTTTCTGCACTGTATCGCTGCTTGCCTCGGGCAACCATTCTGGTGCTGGTCCTCTACGAGCTTTTTTTTTAGGCGGTGTGCGGTGCTGCAGGTAGGTGTGAGGTGGATAATAATGTGGTAAATCCGAAGTACATACATAAACCGTACATGTCGGGGTGTGGTCGGCCCAACAAGATGAAAAATTGCGATACTTTTTTGTGTGCGACGTGCAGGTGACGTACATGTTGGGGTTTGCATGTTATTAGCGGTAAGGCGGGGTGTATGCACCACAGTCCCTGACGTCCAAACCGTTGAAAATATTTTGCGGGGGGGGGGCACTGTTGGTACACGCAGCGCGTACCAGACAGCATGCAACGTACGTTTGCAGAGCGTTTGATACTAAATGGTTTTTAGGTGTGCATGTGCTAAATAAAACAGGTCGAATTATGTTTTGAGTGAATAGAATGCCATGGCGTCGCAGCATGACGTCCACATGGTGTTGAATGCGGTCATGGAGCTCTGAAACCAATTTAAATTATGCAATGAGCACTGCTCCAGCGGCCCTTCAGATTTTGGCTGCATGTACGATAAAAGAGATTTTTCTCTTGAAACGGAACAAGAGAACGCCGGATACATTGAGTACTAAGGTACTGAACGGCCTGCGCACCCACAGTGGGCGCGGGGGCCCAACTCGTAAGCGAGAATAATCGGCGACGGTGAAAAGGGAGACAAAAAATGAAGACGGCGAAGAAGTTGGAAAACTGGTGAGATTTTTTCACGTGCGCCGATGAGAATGGAGAGGCGCGGCGTCGCGTCATGTGTAATGACGCACGGCAACCTGTATGTGAAGGTGATGAAGGCTTACCCCAAAAGAGATTTCATTGTGGAGCGCTAATTACTGTAAGAACCATCCGCTAACGGCGTGGAGGCTGCAGGATCCGAAAAAAACGTGCAGAAGAACAAACCAAACACCGCGAAGAATGACTGAAACATCTACGCCGAGTAGTGCCACAAAACCACTCGAAAGGCTAGCAAACACGTGCCTCCCCGCCATTTTTCAAAAGGTGCCCATGCGGGGGAACTAACGCAAAATGCAACTAACTTCGCCGAAGCTGTACAGCACACCGGCTGAGAGAAAACGCGGGTCAATGTTGGGTATGGCGTCCGTCGAAGCAAGTTAATGAACGAAACATGTAGCGGTTGTAGGCATTTCGCGTTAGTACGGAAAGGCTAGGCACGGCGTACTGCGTCATGACCGCGGTTTCTCTCCGCTACAGCAGCAGAGCTGCAAACGATGAGTATGCTTCTTCATGGCTCGACGGCCTTCCGTACCCGTTTTGTGGCCGGGTTAACGATATCCTGAAATGGTGTGGTGGCCTCCTGCAGAGCCCACATACACAAGACGTGTGGAGGGTGTTGGCTGCTGTTTACGATGCGGAGACACAGCAGTTCTCTGTGCTGCCAATTGTGTCTGTGCTCCTTTGCTCCGGTGCTGGTGTGCACACGTGGCTGTCACGCATGTTTTCACAGACTGACCAAACCCCAACTCGCGAACTCGCCAACGCGCGACCTGTCGTTCGAACCCTAATCCTAGCAACACATGTGAGACGTGCTTGAACTAAGATCCACATTGATCTGCCGTGTACACACGTCACAATAGATGTGTGTGCTGTACAGCGGCTATATAACTAGCCCTTGGTTGCCGCTCTGTATACGTAATCGTGCGCTGCTCAAGATACCGCAGGATTCCTCACCACACTCGTCCGATCACGACCATTGCATATTCCGTTGGAAAAAATGTGGTGGTCGTGGGAAGCCCAAAGGCTGTCGTATTCAGTCTCAAACAATGGTGTCCAGCGTGCGTAAGAACAAAGAAAAGCGAAAAAAAAAAACTCCACCTATGCCTCCTCTATTTTCAAGCAGTGCCACGGAATGAATCTCTGGAGTATATGATATAACATAGGGTGAAACGACAGCGATTTCGGCTTGTCACATCCTCTCTTACTTAGTATATCGTAGCCAGCAATACATAGGAAATTTCATGGATGCATGCCAAGCAGCATCACGGACATGCCGAGGACGACGGTTTTGGAACACCAAGCCACATGAGACACATCTTATCACGCACCTCTTGACGAATATCTTCGAAGCTGTGGGTGACGTTCTCGAGGTCCATCACCTTTACCGCGACATGTACCTCGCGGGCTTCGCAAAATGCTTTCCATACCGTCGCGAACGCTCCTTTGCCAATAATCCTGTCCAGTTTGTAGCCATCTGCCCCGGTTGGCCACGGCACGCCCTCCCCTCCTCCTCCTCCTACCCCACCCCCCATGGTATCTGCAGAACCGCCACCGCCTGCAGCAGACATATCACTCAACCAATTCCTCACTCAATCGGGACGTACCGCAGCAACTAAGGTTTGACAAAACCCTTAACGGTCTTATCCTATTGAACAAGTCAGACTAGACCGTTTACTGCGGCACCACCGCCAGAAAAGAAGTCAGCTCAACGGGGAAACCAGCAACTCACAAGTGTTTGCTCGCCAGCTCTGCACAACTAAGCGAAAAACCCCTCAACCTCGTATGACTTTTGTTTTGTGATCAATAAGATGCTATCACGAAGCTGATAACGTCAACGGGCGTAAATAGGACTGGGGAGAATACGCTTCTAGTGGTGTACGCCTGAAGCAATATGCGTCGTCGTGGGCACCCAAAACATTCGCCGTTTACCGCGCAAGGAGATAGGCACTGCAGAATACAGCCCACGTTTTTATCCTTTTCGCTATTCCCCCACAGATGAAACGCGGCGAAAGTAGACTCGGATAGCTGAAGACGTGTCGTCCTGACTTCAGGACAACGACGCATGGGACGGGTAACGAGGACGAGGGTCGCGCGTGAGGTACGGGTTGTCATTAACAGAAGGGATATAGAGCATCTATCGTAACAGGCATCCGTGGCGCACACCTGTACAAAATCAACCGATTCCTCCGCATACGTTGACGTCCAGCAAAATATCCAACGGCGTTCATACTGGAGGCCTGCCTTTGCCTCTAAGCAGACAGCCATTTTCCCCTAACCGTAGTTCTTCCCGTTGACCCAACCGGCCCAGACTCGTAAGCAATGAGTACTGTTGGCATGAGGCTGACCAAAGCGTCAGATCGGATATTGGCGGGTCATACTTTACGTCGACCATTGGTCTCGTTATAAATAGCACCAAAATGATCTGTCTACGAGAGCTGCCGTATTCCATGCCTTTCCGAACCATTTGCAGCGGGGGGGCATGCAGACTGACGCTTGTTGTTTTCTCAACTCTACAAGACCCCTCCTCCGTAGTGGATTCTTGGGCGTTCAAAAATCTAAACACAGGAGGTGATGAAAGACTATCGCTTGATGATGGACAACAGAAGAAACAACTGCAGAGGGAACCTGATAGCACAACACCATGACGCTGTTCTTATGTGTGATATTGTCCGCCTCCCTTCGTCGCTTGCGTCAAGTAGATGGAGGGAACGGGTGGTTGGAACGTGTCTAAAAAGGAGACAAGTCTGACTCAGGAAACTACTGGGGATCACACTGTTGAACACTGTTCTGCAAGCTGTTGAACGATAGGATAGTGGGAGGATTGGAGGAGGAACGTAGGATAAGTGAGGGCCACGCAGGTTTCCGAACGACGAGGGGGTGCGTAGACCACATATTCACGGTAGGAAGAATAATCCAAGGTAGAACGAGGGCGGGGAAGCCGACGTACTACTTCTCCCTGGACGTGCAACAGGCATACGATACGTTATGGAGAAATGGGCTGTGGAAACAGTTGTCCAATTACGGGATCAAGGGGAAAATGTGGAGAGTGCTGCAGAACGTGACAAGAGTGTACGAAAGCCGAGGTCATGCTAGACGGAGAACTGTCTAAATTCTTCAACACTGAACAGGGGTCCCCACAAGGTTGCACATTGTCCCCAACATTGTTCCGGGTGTTCATCAACGATCTGTTGAAGGTCGTAGAGGCAGTAGGAAGGGAGTAAGGGTAGGGGACAGCTGGGTGTCGGGGATGCTGTTTCCGGATGATTTTGTTGGCATGTCTGACACCCCTGAGGGACTGCAACTGGAAATGGACGCGGCGAAGGAGTTTGCTGATAAGTGGAGATTGTCTGCGAACGTTTAAGAAGAGTGCCGTCATGTCATGCAATGAGGACGGGGAGGAACCAGTAGAATATAGACGAAAGTGGGGGGTCGACGAGCTTGCGGTTGTGGACCAGTACACATACCTCGGAGTAGGGATCGCTAAAGACTGCTCGTGGAATGCACACATGTCCAAGGTGGCGGAAAACGGCAAAGCACGAGCAGGGAAGCTGCACCCAATGTTGAACTCGCAAACAGGCACCTCGATACACGCATCACATTGACGGTTCTGAAGAGCGTAATCGTACCGCCGCTGGAGTACGCCCGAGAAGCATGGAAAGTAAGTAAGAGGGACGATGCTCCAAGCGCACAAGTAATGCAGCCGTCAGAGCGGCACTGGGGATCCGATCCCTACGATCGGAAGGGAACGCAAGGAAGCTGACATGGCAGTGTCCCATGTGCGGTATCGGAGAGGAGAGGTTGCCGAGAATAGCTTGGGAGGCCGAGTGGGCAAATAAGAAGAGGGGTAGATAACGCACGGGGTGGGTCAAGGTTTTAGATGACGTATGGAAGGGGTTCGTAATTGACGAAGGTGATTCGTTGGAAACGCAGGGCCTAAAGGGGTTCAAGGAGAAGATATCTGTTGCTTTTGACGAGAGAGCACAACAGAATCTAAGAAAAGAACCAAGGATAGGGAGGGTCTCGATGTGTACGGAATGTTGAAAGAAGGAATAACGTTCAAGGAGTACCTGTATGGACCAATGGATGCAGGGAAAAGACTGAAGGTCACACTCAGAACCGGAGACATTGGCCTTCGAGAACGTACACGAAGATAAAGGAAGGTAGACGATAAAGACGACAAGTTCAAATGTGATTGCGGCTCTGAGTGCGAAGACCGTGTCCATATAGTGGCGGAATATCGGATGTACAAGGAGAGGGAAGTGTATATGATTGAGCTGGTGAAAGTAGAAGGAAGGTGCAGGGAGATGTCTGAGGCACGTGATAGCCAGGATAAGACGGTAGCTATTGTACCGGGGCATAGGAAGTGGGTTAAAAAGGCGGGAAAAGATGTCGGTAGCATCGATAGGCTAGGGAAGACATTTTTGAGTCACCTTTGGCAAAATAGGAAGGAACGGTTGGTCATCGGGATCGGTCCTGTGAGAGCAATGCTCCGTCCTCTCGACGACGCGTGGTCAATGGTCTAGCTAAGGCATGCAAAAATAAGGGTACGCTCCCCCGCCCCCCCTAGCTTCTGTCACCAACACCATTCAAAAGCACAACCACTGTGTTCTTTTCTGTGCTACAGTACTTGGCCGGCAATTTTGGCTGGGACCCACGCTCGACGGGAGACTGATGTACATTATTTTCTTTTATTTAATTTTTTTGTCCCATCTCTGGCGCCGCCTGCTTACTCCTCTTCGGTGCACACTTCAAGTTTACCGCGTACGTGCACTTACACTTCTCAGCATACACTACAACTAGCAAGACGCACCGTCCGGGGTCACACACGAGGGGGTACCCACACCGTTTTTTTTTTCCATATTTTTATCTTCTTTTGTCCCCACCTACCTCCTGCGGTGCCTGCCTGAGATATTTTTATCGCGAGAAGGGTACAATAATTCCTTCCCTCATGACGGCTAAGTCGATGTCGACAATGAAGTCGATCAGTTTACTAACAACGACGTACATGTGGCACCGACTGTGTTGACCTCTAACGCTGAGCGTAAAAAAACGATGTTTGTCCTATCGCAGCAATGAGAAGCCGCTGGGGCATCGTTCGATGCCGCAGAAGGCACAACATGCCAGGGCCCTAGTTTCAGATTTGAACTGACAGACGAAAAAATAAAAGCGTGTTTGAGTTCGTTGTGCGGATACGTGGTGCTGCTGCAACTGTGCCTGCTCATCATACCGGGTGTCCCTCGTATCCGCTACTTCCGAGGATTCGTAAAACGTAAGAGGGCAACATTTTCGAGGTTGCACAAAGAAACATCCTTACACCCGCCGACACCGCCCAGGAAAGCTGGGTTTCTGATTTTCAGGCGGTTGCACCTCGATCAGCGAAACAATCAAGGCGAAAGTGGCTGCCCAGGCCGGAAAAAAAATTTAAACGTGACCGGAGACTCTCTGGCTTAACCTGCACAATCATCATGACGAACCCGGACGATGGAAAGTAAAAAAGTACGCAGCCATTGTGGTGTGGCCTATTGGTTTGAAATGGCGTAAAACACAATTTTCTTGGCTGTCTTTGCCGACCTAAGCGTGCCAATCTTCCAATCACAACGCCTCGGTCGCCCGCTCGAGATTTGAACGGCGAGCCAAGTTCTGCTGTGGGCGGCGATCGATAGCCTCGCTGGGAGTTTGAGCTGTCATGTGCCGGAGGCAAAAAATCATGTTCTTGTAATATCGTGGTCAGGGCTGCCTCGCATCCTCCGGTATAATTTTTCTTTTTTTGTTTCTTGTCGCCAGGTGTTCCTGGGTATGCATAATCAACGACGGTGTCAAGAACGGATAAAATGGCACTGATAACAAGTGCGGCGGACTACCGCCCCCGCTGTCCTCCGTTTGGGAGTGGATGTGCATACAAAACGGTACATGTGAGGTAGCATTTGCAGGCTTCAAACGCATACCAAGTGGGACGGGGGTTTGTTGGTGGCTGTGTACAGCAAAAGGACGATAGATGAAGGTTCGGTATCGGGAGAAGCGTGCGTCATCATGCTCCTCGCACACGTCTCAAAAACTGCTTATAATTGTTTAACACAGCGTTGAAGCTTGGTGCATCCATATGTACAGTTATACATGTGTGTTAGCTGGTCGTTGGCAGTGGAGGCTGATCGGGTGTTCTTGCCCCTTCTGTTTCCAGGCGGCTGTTCGATTTAAGAGTCCTTCATGTTCTTTGAAGCAGCTTTAACATAATTTTCTTCCTTTCTAGCACAGCAGTAGAGGGTAGAACAGCGAAGAACACCTGCTTGGTCACAGGTCTCCGTATTACAGAACAACAGTTTCGAAAACGCACACGTCTGTACTCGTGGTTGCGCACGCTGGAGGAACACAACAAACACGCCCGCCAGGTTTGAACCGCTCAGTAAACGGGTAGGCCATTCAAGTAATGTAGAAATCTAACAGGTGGGACGCCGTTGTGGCTCGAAGCACGGCTGATTGATGCTGCGAGGTTAGCTGTCTGTCGGTCGGTCCCATTTGCCCTCTCTTCAACTCAGAACAACACCCGCCGCCTGCTTGTTGGTTTTCTTTTTTCCAATGCTGTCATCTCCCACGTTTGTGCCGCTGTGCTACTGCTGTTGTTTTATGATCATATTG